ATACTACATTACTTAGAGACGATAAAGTGATTAAATCGAGAAAAATAACTAAAGCGAAATGCTACAAACATAATATTAAGCTGACTACACTCTACATTACTTAGGGACAATAAAGTGATTAACTATGCATTATAACGCACGTAATAAATCATACAAACAAGTTCTCCTATACAATACAATGACGACACTTCTGTGACCAGTGTTGCCAACACTATTAAAAGTAGTCCAGACTATAGATTGACTTTAGACTATAGACTAGACTATAGACTAGACTATAGACTAGACTATAGACTAGACTATAGACTAGACTATAGACTACACTATAGACTAGACTATAGACTAGACTATAGACAAGACTATAGAATAGACTATAGAATAGACTATAGACTAGACTATAGACTAGACTATAGACTAGACTATAGACTAGACTATAGACTAGACTATAGACTAGACTATAGACTAGACTATAGACTAGACTATAGACTAACTATAGACTAGACTATAGACTAGACTATAGACTAGACTATAGACTAGACTATAGACTAGACTATAGACTAGACTATAGACTAGACTATAGACTAGACTATAGACTAGACTATAGACTAGACTATAGACTAGACTATAGACTAGACTATAGACTAGACTATAGACTAGACTATAGACTAGACTATAGACTAGACTATAGACTAGACTATAGACTATATATAGACTATAGACTAGACTATAGACTAGACTATAGACTAGACTATAGACTAGACTATAGACTAGACTATAGACTAGACTATAGACTAGACTATAGACTAGACTATAGACTAGACTATAGACTAGACTATAGACTATAGATAGACTATAGACTAGACTATAGACTAGACTATAGACTAGACTATAGACTAGACTATACTAGACTATAGACTAGACTATAGACTAGACTAAGCTAGACTATAACTAACATGAACTAGACTAGATACTAGACTACAGACTGAACTATCAGACTAGACTATACTAGACTATAGACTATACTAGAGATAGACGATGAACTAGACTACTATAGACCTAGACTAGACTATACTGTAGACTAGACTAGACTTAGACTAGACTATAGACTAGACTATAGACTAGACTATAGACTAACTATGACGAGACTATAGACTAGACTATAGACTAGACTTTAGACTACACTATGAATATACTGTAGACCAGACTATATACTAGAATATACACTGTAATACACACTAGAATTAAGATTAGACCATAGAATGGACTATAGACATATGTAATTATTACATTTTATACGTGAAAAAAACATAAAAAATCTTCAAGTGCTGGTTAAAAATCGTCAAATTTCCCGCTAACCGCTAAAACGCATTTTTTCCCGCAATTGCCATGTCAAAAACGTCAGATTTGACGGGAAAATGTCAAATTGGCAACAATGTCTGTGACCCATAAATCTACTTAACTTACTTATCGTCTAAGATACCCCAAAACCCCCCTAAAACTGTAGGGAATCTACAAGGAAATAAAAACTCTCCCACACAACACATACACAAGTCCATAGAAGACTTTCGACCAAACAAAACAAACAAAAATGCAAATAATCGTAACTAATCGCCGAACAAACTACCACAACGAAAAAAGAAAAATAAGAAATAAAATCAACAGAAGAAGTCTGAATGAATGAGTGAGTGCCTGAAGAAGTCATTCGTTCATTCATTCATACATTCTCCTATTGTTGGGGGGGACCATAAAAACAATTTGTTTTATTAACTTTCACTTTAAGCTCTATTGAAAATCATTTACATAAAAATAATAAATATTCTTTTTCTGATTCTTCTAAATATTGTTGTTATTTGTTTGGTTTATTGTTCGGTTGTAGTTGTTGGTTGGTTTATTTATCGTATTAAATGTTATTTGTTGTTGTTATTTTTATTATTATAGTACTTTTTTATTGTAGTTATTGGTGTTGTTATTGGTATTAAATAAAATTTTTTAAGATAAAAATGTTAATAAATTCAAGTGTTAGATTGGTATGTAAACAAATTGGTGTTGGAGGAATTTTAAAAGATTTTATATCAGATTTAGATTTTATTTACTTTGCTACTGCAAGTTGTTTTGGCTGGAGTTTTAAGTTTATAAATTACTTGTTGAAAGCTACACTATCACCTAATCATTATCATTATGGCAAGTCCGTCTGTCTGTTGGTTTATTTCAACTAGCCCTTAAATAAATGTACAGATTTCCCACTTCCCATTATCTGAGTTGGTTAAACCTGTCTATGTGGTTATCTTAAGAACGAAGTAAACCAAGTCTTAGTCTTAATTTACCTAGCACCCTTAATAAATTTCCCATAAATAAATTTTCCCCAATATTTTCCCTAATAATCACTTTATTTAACAAACTTTCCGCAATTAATGTTGAAAACAAAATATGTATATTCCTTAAAACTAATTTAAAACAATTATCCAATTATTATAATTTCTTCAATTATAGTATTTTTATACTTGTGTAAGTGCGTTTTTCCTGTGACACAGTTTTTATACACACCTGATGCCTAAGCTACCCCTAAAATTTGTCGCCAAATTCACCTACATACCAAATTTCATTCATTATAATTTTCTCCAAAAGAAATAATATAAAATGAGTAAAACTTTCCATAAGTTTTATTTTTGTAGTTTTTCTACAAGTTTTTTTAACATGACTTTAGAACAGAAATTATTTGTCAACTTTCAAGGTTTTCCTGGTTTATGAGTTTTTTACTGCAGCAGAGATCAAGTCACCACAAATTGGGTGCATACAACATAGTTGCAACAACTGTAGCAGAGCAACACTACTAGTTACAAGTGAGATTACAATATGAAATTTTTACTTAAATATGTTCTTTTTTTGGTAGCAGAAACTTAAAAGTTTAATTTAAGTAATTTTATTAATTTAAAAACGACTTTTTGACTGGTTACAACAACCCCTTCAAACCTCGTAAATACGTTTACGAAAGCTCTAGCTGTCGTAATTTTCATTTTTGCTAACATGTTTGATGCCCCAATTTGTAGGGGGCAATCAAACATGTTGGAAACAGTTATGGAAAAAGAAATGAAACCGGATTTGTTATAAATAAAAAGACAGTGTTGGAGTGTAAAAATAATTAATTAACTAACTAACTAACGAACTAACTAACTAACTAACTAACTAACTAACTAACTACTAACTAACTACCTAACTAACTAACTAACTAACTAACTAACTAACTAACTAACTAACTAACTACTAACTAACTAACTAACTAACTACTACTAACTAACTAACCTAACTAACTAACTAACTAACTAACTAACTAACTAACTAACTAACTAACTAACTAACTAACTAACTACTACTAACTAACTAACTAACTAAACTAACTAACCTACAACTAACTAACTAAGACTAACTAACTAACTAACTACTAACTAACTAACTAACTAACTAACTAACTAACTAACTAACTAACTAACTAACTAACTAACTAACTAACTAACTAACTAACTAACTAACTAACTAACTAACTAACTAACTAACTAACTAACTAACTAACTAACTAACTAACTAACTAACTAACTAACTAACTAACTAACTACTAACTAACTACTAACTAACTAACTAACTAACTAACTAACTAACTAACTAACTAACTAACTAACTAACTACTAACTAACTAACTAACTAACTAACTACTAACTAACGAACTAACTAACTAACTAACTAACTAACTAACTAACTAACTAACTAACTAACTAACTAACTAACTAACTAACTACTAACTAACTAACTAACTACTACTAACTAACTAACTAACTAACTACTAACTAACTAACTACTAACTAACTAACTAACTAACGAACTAACTAACTAACTAACTAACTAACTAACTAACTAACTAACTAACTAACTAACTAACTACTAACTAACTAACTAACTAACTAACTACTAACTAACTAACTAACTAACTAACTAACTACTAACTAACTAACTAACTAACTAACTAACTAACTAACTACTAACTAACTAACTAACTAACTAACTAACTAACTAACTAACTAACTACTAACTAACTAACTAACTAACTAACTAACTAACTAACTAACTAACTAACTACTAACTAACTAACTAACTAACGAACTAACTAACTAACTAACTAACTAACTAACTAACTAACTAACTAACTAACCTAACTAACTAACTAACTAACTAACTAACTAACACTAACTAACTAACTAACTAACTAACTAACTAACTAACTAACTAACTACTAACTAACTACTAACTAACTAACTAACTAACTAACTAACTACTACTAACTAACTAACTAACTAACTAACTAACTAACTAACTAACTAACTAACTAACTAACTAACTAACTAACTAACTAACTAACTAACTAACTACTACTAACTAACTAACTAACTAACTAACTAACTAACTAACTAACTAACTAACTAACTAACTAACTACTAACTAACTAACTAACTAACTAACTAACTAACTACTAACCTAACTAACTAACTAACTACTAACTAACTAACTAACTAACTAACTAACTAACTAACTAACTAACGAACTAACTAACTAACTAAAATAGAAAATTTAATACAATTTTTGTAAAAATTAAAAATTTTTGGAAAATATTTTCAAATTAATTTTTTTTTATTTTTAAAAATAGAAAATTTATTGAAAATGTTATATAACTAGGAAATTTATTAAAAAGTAGACAATTTTCTTAAAATTTATTGAAAATTTTCGAAAAATTTAATAATTTTAAAAATTATTGCGAATTTAAAAAATTCTATTTTTCGAAAATTTATATTAAATTTCCTAAAAATAGATAATAAACATATTCCTAAAATTTTAAATTTTATAAATTGAGAATTTTTGAAAAAATAGAAGATTTTCTATTTTTTAATACATAATTATTTTAATGAACAAATAAAAATTTCTAAAGAAAATTTCCTGATAGTAAAATACTTTTGATAAAATTTAATTATTATTTTATTAAAACCAAAAACGAAAAATGTTGAATATAACAATCATTTCAGCATTTTCTAACCAAATGTTAAATTACTCCAATAAAATATGGCGAAAAGCTAAACGTCCGACCGTTCCACCACAAGTATTTGGTTGTTCAGCAACACAATTTTTTTTCGTAGGATCATAAAATGTTTGGCCGGGACAATTATAAATAGGACCATACCAATCGTTACCGACTTTAACGCAACTAATGTATCTGAAATATAGAGAAAAATTAAATATTTTTTTAATTTTTATACAAAAATTTACTTACTGGCGGCAAGTAGTTTGTGGATTTGAACCAGCAGGATAACGTCCTGCTTTTTGCATGCTTTGACAAAAAGCATTGGGATCTTGGCTAGGTGATTCTGTTGTAGTTGTTGGTGCAATTGTAGTGGTAGTTGCTGGTTCTTCAGCGTAGGAGCAAGTAGGTCCATCCTGTTATTAATAGAATTTATTATAAATTTAATAAATATAAAAATTATAATTTTTAACTTACTACACCACAGATTTGGGCATTATTTATATTGCACACATAGTTTTCACTACATTCCCCAGTTATTTCAGAAGGTGTATCGCCACCCAAACATAATGCAAATGTCCTTGTCCCTTTACACGCAAATATCTTATTTTCATCACATTCTCCACATAATTGACAATCTTTGAAATCTTCTAATTTCGTACAGTTTCCCAGCATGGAACAGTAATAACCGTTATTGCATGAGTATTTGTAACCAAATGGTTTACTATTCTCATCACATTCTTGAAATTCCGTTTCTGATATACAGGCTTTACCGGTTTGGGCATTACAAATATTACATTCGGAATGAACTAAAAGAGATTGGTTCAATAGTTGTAAAACTATTGATATCTGTAGAAAATTAAGCAAATTTAATTAAAATTGTTTAGAATTTTTAATTTTTTACTTACGCAAGTAAATAGCAGTAAATGTTTCATTTTTGTTCCAAAATTTTAAACAATCTTAAAGATACTGGCAAGACGAATGCACAGAAATAAGATTTTGTTAACTTTTTATATGAAAATGAGAAAAAAGAAAGTAGTCGACAACAACGACCTATAAATAACGTTACAGATACCATTGCATACTTTACGTCAATGATCGACGAACATTGACAACACGAACCGAGAGTACAACATACATATTTTATATAGAATAATATTTTTTTTATTAACTATTTTTTTATTAAGTGCTTGAGTCAAAAATAAATTAAAGTAATTTCTAGAATAAAATATCTGTTATTGACTAGAACTATAAAATTCTTATCTGAATTTAATTATTTTTCTCTTATAGGTTTCTAAATCTTAAAAAATTAGTGCTTATCGGTTATAGGGTACTTGTTTTTATTATTTATAGTAAATTTTAAAGTTTTATTTTATTTGTGGAGAAAATTAGTTTGTAAGAAAAGTATATTTGCATTTACGATACAAAAATATTTACTTTTGATCCCGTAATAAGTGATAAAGATAAAGCCATTTCGTATATATGTAAATCCATCTATATTAAAACAATATATTTTATACTGTTACCGTTTTCATCGGAATACATACATATATTTTTAATTTTACAATTCTAAATTTTGCGACTAGCTACCAATGTCACATAAAATCGACAGATTAAGATTATTGCAAAATCCGCTAGAAAATGGCAAAGTTATCTATCTACTACAGACCAGACTACAGACTAGTCTATAGACTACTCTATTGATTAGAGTACAAGCTAGAATATACACTATACTAGACTATACACGAGACTACACTATAGTGTAGACTATAGACTGTACCATAGACTAGACCATAGACTACTATAGTCTAGACTATACTATAGACTACACTATAGATTAGACTATATACTAAATACTAAACTATATACTAGACTATAGAATAAACTATATACTAGATTATATACCAGACTATTGACTAGACTATATACTACAGTCTGGTCTAGAGACTATAGACTAGATTATATACTACACTATAGACTACTCTATTGACTAGAGTACAGACTAGACTATTTACTAGAATATAAACTAGACTGTAGACTAGACTATACTATAGACTAGACTATAGATTAGCCTATAGACCAGACTATAAACTAGTCTATATACTAAACAATAGACTAGACTAAAGACTAGTCTATAGACTAGAATATAGACTAGACTATATACTAGACTATATAATTCACTATAGACTACAAACTAGCCTAAAGACTGTACTGTAGGCCAGACTATCGGCTAGACTCTACGCTAGACTCTAGGCTGGACTATAGACTAGTCTATAGATTAGCCTATAGACCAGACTATAGACTAGACTATAGACTAAACAATAGACTAGACTATAGACTAGACTATAGACTAGAATATAGACTAGACTATAGACTAGACTATATACACTATAGACTACAAACTAGACTAAAGACTGTACTGTAGGCATAGACTCTAGCTAGACTCTAGGCGGACTATAGACTAGACTATAGACTAGACTATAGACTAGACTATAGACTAGACTATAGACTAGACTATAGACTAGACTATAGACTAGACTATAGACTAGACTATAGACTAGACTATAGACTAGACTATAGACTAGACTATAGACTAGACTATAGACTAGACTATAGACTAGACTATAGACTAGACTATAGACTAGACTATAGACTAGACTATAGACTAGACTATAGACTAGACTATAGACTAGACTATAGACTAGACTATAGACTAGACTATAGACTAGACTATAGACTAGACTATAGACTAGACTATAGACTAGACTATAGACTAGACTATAGACTAGACTATAGACTAGACTATAGACTAGACTATAGACTAGACTATAGACTAGACTATAGACTAGACTATAGACTAGACTATAGACTAGACTATAGACTAGACTATAGACTAGACTATAGACTAGACTATAGACTAGACTATAGACTAGACTATAGACTAGACTATAGACTAGACTATAGACTAGACTATAGACTAGACTATAGACTAGACTATAGACTAGACTATAGACTAGACTATAGACTAGACTATAGACTAGACTATAGACTAGACTATAGACTAGACTATAGACTAGACTATAGACTAGACTATAGACTAGACTATAGACTAGACTATAGACTAGACTATAGACTAGACTATAGACTAGACTATAGACTAGACTAGACTAGACTAGACTAGACTATAGACTAGACTATAGACTAGACTATAGACTATAGACTAGACTATAGACTAGACTATAGACTAGACTATAGACTAGACTATAGACTAGACTATAGACTAGACTATAGACTAGACTATAGACTAGACTATAGACTAGACTATAGACTAGACTATAGACTAGACTATAGACTAGACTATAGACTAGACTATAGACTAGACTATAGACTAGACTATAGACTAGACTATAGACTAGACTATAGACTAGACTATAGACTAGACTATAGACTAGACTATAGACTAGACTATAGACTAGACTATAGACTAGACTATAGACTAGACTATAGACTAGACTATAGACTAGACTATAGACTAGACTATAGACTAGACTATAGACTAGACTATAGACTAGACTATAGACTAGACTATAGACTAGACTATAGACTAGACTATAGACTAGACTATAGACTAGACTATAGACTAGACTATAGACTAGACTATAGACTAGACTATAGACTAGACTATAGACTAGACTATAGACTAGACTATAGACTAGACTATAGACTAGACTATAGACTAGACTATAGACTAGACTATAGACTAGACTATAGACTAGACTATAGACTAGACTATAGACTAGACTATAGACTAGACTATAGACTAGACTATAGACTAGACTATAGACTAGACTATAGACTAGACTATAGACTAGACTATAGACTAGACTATAGACTAGACTATAGACTAGACTATAGACTAGACTATAGACTAGACTATAGACTAGACTATAGACTAGACTATAGACTAGACTATAGACTAGACTATAGACTAGACTATAGACTAGACTATAGACTAGACTATAGACTAGACTATAGACTAGACTATAGACTAGACTATAGACTAGACTATAGACTAGACTATAGACTAGACTATAGACTAGACTATAGACTAGACTATAGAGACTATAGACTAGACTATAGACTAGACTATAGACTAGACTATAGACTAGACTATAGACTAGACTATAGACTAGACTATAGACTAGACTATAGACTAGACTATAGACTAGACTATAGACTAGACTATAGACTAGACTATAGACTAGACTATAGACTAGACTATAGACTAGACTATAGACTAGACTATAGACTAGACTATAGACTAGACTATAGACTAGACTATAGACTAGACTATAGACTAGACTATAGACTAGACTATAGACTAGACTAGACTAGACTATAGACTAGACTATAGACTAGACTATAGACTAGACTGTAGACTAGACTATAGACTAGACTGTAGACTAGACTATAGACTAGACTATAGACTAGACTATAGACTAGACTATAGACTAGACTATAGACTAGACTATAGACTAGACTATAGACTAGACTATAGACTAGACTATAGACTAACTATAGACTAGACTAGACTAGACTATAGACTAGACTATAGACTAGAGTAGACTAGACTATAGAATAGATTATAGACTAAACTATAGACAGAACTAGACTAGACTATAGACTAGACTATAGACTAGACTGTAGACTAGACTATAGACTAGACTATAGACTAGACTATAGAATAGATTATAGACTAAACTATAGACAGAACTATAGACTAAACTATAGACTACAATTTAGAGAAGTCTATAGGTTAGACTATAGGCTAAAACTATTAAAGAACTATAGGCTAGTCTATAAACTAGTCTATAAGCATATTTTAGCTTCGGAAAACATTGTAAGTACTCCATTTCATATTTTAAGTACTTAGTGTTTATTACAAAAATTTGGAGAAAACATCAGAAAGCATCAAAACTCTAGTTATAAATCTCCAATTGTTATATTAAACTTATATTGAAGAGCCACCCTAACACTTCCCGAGAATGAAAACAGGTCGAAAATTAGAAATCCTAGTAATAACTTGTTAATAGTGTTTAAAATTTTGTTGCTAACACAGATTACTTTACAAAGTATTTATGAGCTTTTGTACCCTACACTACCATAGTGAGAAGTTTATGGGTCCTATGTTATTTAAAAGTACGGGTTTATAATTAAAAAAAAATCCGATCTTTCAACTTTATTCAATTAATAAAAATTAGATTTCTTAAATTTTGACAACTTATCGATCGTCATCAGTTTTATTTTAAATTTTTTGGGAATTTTAGATTTTTTAACTATTTCAGATATTTTTCAATTTTTTTCTTTATTTACGTTCATGTTAACTTGTAATTAAACTTTAAGTTGGTATATCATTCACTTTTTCCTAGTTCGATCTCAAACTTTTCTAATTTTATTACTTCTGTTCTTTTATAAAATAATCACAAACACCTTCTCCATCATTTCATTCGCAAAAATTCCATAAATAAATAATGACCATAAAAAACTATAGATTAGATAAAAGTTGAAAATAAAGATCAAAATAAATAAAGTAAAAAAAATATTTTATAATATTTGCATTAAATATAACGACAACACGATCAAAATGTTTTAGTTGCAAGACTTGTAAGTGAAACGAAACATGAACGCAAAGGTGTTACTATTCCAAGTAAATATTAATTTAATTACTCGAACGAAAGATCAAGATAATAATCTAGTTCATAATCATATCTTTTACAACTCTTATAGATTTTATCAATAATTTTGATTTATGTCGAACATTTGAAGGCGCAATGTAACGTATGTTCGGCTGTTAATCAAATGGTTTGTGTTTCTCAAACAGAGTATCAATTCTGTGTGAATAATATGCCTAGTGGTGCAGTCAATACCTGTCCCACGGACTATGTCTGCTCTACAGCGACAGCCACCATTTGTCTGCCGAATTCAGCGGGCGTAACGGCCACTTGTAGTGATTGTAATAAATGTGATTTAAGTTTGGTATTCGCCTGTACGGGTGTCAGCACTTATGCGCTGTGTTTGGGTCAAACTACACCTTCAGCGGTGACGGGAACTTGTGGTGCAGGTCAAGTGTGCAATATAAATTCGGCTCAAATATGTACCACACCTTCGGCAGGAGTATGTTTAAATGGTTTTTATCAGAGATCAGGGGCAAATTTTTACTTCTTCTCTTTTTAGTTAACAGCTACTGTCCTACTGGAGGATCAACTATTACGACTTCTACTACAACCACTACGGCAGCGACCCCCACTTTTACGACTCCCCCTACCGTGCCCACTTATGCTCAATATTTTTGCCAAGTTATGCGTATTAACAAACGTTTCCAAGTTCCTTCTGAATTTGATACATCATGTAGAAGGTAAAAATAGTTTATCTCTTAATATCTTAAGGCTGGTACAAATATCCGCCACAATGAGCCCTCAATCGTAATCAGTTTCATGATAGGTTATTTATAGAAACAGACCGATTTTAGTTCGCTTTATATAAAGGAGATCTATCTGTTTGACAAATCGTTCATGTCATGGTTGATTGACACCTCTTGGATATGTTGTGTCTGATATAATCGGTTACATTTAACCTCCATTAAAAATCTACTCTTAGCTCACAGATGGAACTAAACAAAGATCTTAATATTGAAAATGTTCATTAATTTATAGTTAAATTTTAAGGAACTAGCCCCTAGTAATGGGTCTTTTTTTCATTCTCAGATATATCTACTGCTTTAAAACTAACGCTGGCACTTGGTCTGGACAAATTTACACCTGTGCTGGTTCCACCTACTTTGATCCTGTATCACTTTATTGCGTGGCCTCAAGACCTTCAAGTTGTTAAGTTTATTAAAAGTTTTCATAAGTTTAGAAAAAGTAAGTTATATATTTATTGAAATATTTACAAAATGTATAAAATATCTTTTAAAAATTATTTTCAGAACTTAAATTATAAACAATAAGTCGGTTTGTTGAAGACACACTTTTCCTGTTGTATGTGAAAGTATGTACCCGAGGAGCAGTTATATTCCATACCCGTCATAATGCCATTGGAATGATAACAATAAATGTATCTGAAAAGGAAATTTTTTTTGTAATTAAATGTATTCAAAATATTTGAAATAATAAAATAACTATTTAAAAAATTCTGAAATATAATTTTTTAAATCATTTTAAAATATCCGAATCGAACTCTATTATATCATCCGGCTCCGATTTCCCGTTTCATTTACAATTTTCTTCTAACACATTTACTACATTAGGTACTTAAGAATCAATCCATTGTATCTTTTGAAGAAGTACTTCTAATAGGACATCCCTGGAAGTGATGTGTCATATCTACCGATACTGCAAAATGACTCCCCTGGAAGTAATTCAGAAGTAATGAATTTGGAATCAGAAAAAGGACTCTTCTATGACAAGCATCAAGATCATTGCTTCTACAGGTCTTTTCCAGTACTTCCATAGAGAAAATTCTACTTCTTTGCTTCTTTAAGTTCTTTTTTTTTTTGTTGGGTAAAGACTAATTTATATAAAATTTCTGAGAATAGATAAAGTTCTTGTTCAGTAAATGACAATTGATATTCAATCGTTAAGTTTCCGTGGAATTACTTTCTCTTGATAATCTCCATTCCAATTGATGAATAAAAAACTAGTTCTATAACCATTTTAAGAAGAATTCGAATTTTATGAATTAAGGTCCTTGGTGAACAGAAATAAACCGGCTTATTCCTACAAACTATATTATTAAACATGATCATATCATAAAGAGTCTTTTTTATGATATCTAAGTCTGTTTAACATCTCGACTTTTCGGTATTGCCGAGCAAGTACCCAGTAAGTTAGAGCAAAGATAATTATGGTTCAATAAAGTAACTCTAGAACAATTGATTTTTGTCTTATTTAACATGGTAGTGTTCAGATTGGCTAATGCAAGAATGGACACATAAATATTAATAATTTCGGGGTTATATCGAAATTAAGACGGGAAAACGTTATAGATATCTGGAAATCTAGTGAACACTAAAAGGCTAAATTCATTAAAGAAAGTTTAAAATTTGATTTATATGACTTTTATTGATCGAGAAGGTATTGGAGACCCATCGTCAACAATTCTACCATAAAAACAATGAAGGTACACCCTAAAAGTGAACTCCAAATCCAGTTATATTTTTGAAAGCATTTTAAGGGGTCTGAATTTTATCGTGATCTAATTCATTAGTTTCACATATTCAGAAAAAAACTACTCTTTTAAGTTTTCGGCATAATCTCTTCCTAGTTTAGTTTAATATCTTCCTAATCGAACATACATTTAAGTAATTTTCTAATGGTTGCTCTAGACATGAGAAGTAAATAAGATTAAAGCTCTGTATGACCTGGGATTTATGTATATAAAAGTTTCTAAGAAATATTTTCCCACTAATACCCAAGTTTGATATATGACACACTCCAAGTAAAGGTCTAAAAATCTCTAAAATTTTAAAATAATCGGTTTAAGTTTAATTGACTAAATTTAAAAACTACGATGCCAACTATCGGACGTATTAAAACTTTTCTTGAATATACCATACCCCTTGTTTTGAGCTTATCATTTACAAAGAAACATTAGTATTTGCTTATCAAAAGTAATTCCCTACAAATTCTACTGTACCGAGGTTCTTCAAATTCAATATTCCACGGTATATCGAACTTTTATTATCTGATCACACCAGTTTATTAATAAGTTTAATAATACCATCAAAGGCTTGTAGTTCAATCGGAAGCTTTTTCACTTTATAGTCAGCTAGGAAACGGTTAAGTGATTATTTTTAACCCAAAGTTAAAAACTTTAACCCTAAGTTAAGTGTGAATTTCAATATGTACGAATATATAATTTCAAATATGTACTCAATTACCTTTTACAATACGGATCATTCGGAACAGTCGGATATAAGCCCAACGAACGTTTTTGTTCACACACCTCGGTTGGTGTTAACATACCACTACCAGGATTATCTGTGGTTTCGGGATCTGTGGGTGGTGTATTTGTTGACGGTTTCGAAGTCGATGATGATGTTACTCCACCATCGTCCACAATATCACAGGTTACACTATCGACTGTATTCTCTAGAACACAAACAGCATCGCTATTACCGTCACAAACATAACCGGATGGACAATAACCAATTTGTCCGGTGGGTCGTATGGCACCGTAACACATTTGGAATGTGGTACGACTGAGGCAAGCAAACAAATAATTACGATGGGCCGCACACATGCCACACAGTGATGTATCACCACAACTGGGCGGTCGCTGTGATGAAGTTTGAACACAAATGGCACTTAAATCCGTACAATCAAAACCATCTTTACATGATATAAAACATTTGTATTGGGTTTATTATCTGGAGCAAAAGAACAAAAAAAGGAAATGAAATTAATTTGCTTGTGATATGTGAAATAAAAAAAGAGAAATTACTTCCAAAACACAAATAAAATGAGGTGGAATTTACACAGGCCGCCTGATTTGCCTGACAGACATTACACTCCGCTGATGAGTAGTTGATATACGCCAATATGAGACAAATGAGCTTAAAAATAGTGCAAAAAAGGATTTGTTATAAAAAACTTTAAAAAGATAAACTTAATTTTATGTAGAAAATTTTTTTTAACACTTACTTGCCACATCACTAAATGGAACTTTCCAAATTTTTTTATAAACATTTTTACTTTTTTGAATTTTAAATTTTTCGAGTAATTTTTTTTTACCAATTTCACTTAACTTTCTGTTTTAATCCGAACGTTTTGACGACTGCCTTGCTACTACTTGTCCATGATCATGATTTTGTTGATTTTTAGTTAAAAAAAAACTTAAACTAAGAATGTTTTTCTGTGTCTTCCGTAGATACTCTCCATGTTGACAATTCTATTTTGATGATGGTGTTAATTTATATGTTAACATTTCTTTTTTGTTGAATTTTTATTTGTCTTTTCTTTACGCTGATGCTGTGTAAATAAATAGTAAAATATCTCTATGACTAGTAAAAATATCATAAATGTTGGAAACTTGTTGTCTGGATTTGCCTCTAGTAGCAGTATAAATTTATGGATTTAGTTATTTTGAAAATATGATTAGTTTGTTTGGGTAATAAAGACTTCTTGGAATCCCTTATCTTTATGGCGTTTAAAGAAAGTGGATTTTTTGCTTTAAAACGTTGAATTCTAGTTGGATTACTTCATTTGTTTAGTCGAAAAGAGGGTGATGTGAGGTTAGGATCGCTCGTTTTTCAGCATTTTGCCCATTTTAAAGCCCTTACTTCTTTGGACGATATTGTGATCGTGTAGTCTGGTAACAGTCTCGTTACTCGATAGTTTCGACAACAGTCTCGTCCAAAGTCTGAACTATACTCTAGTCCATAGTCTCGTCAATAGCCTGAATCATAGTTTCGTCTCTAGTATGGACAATAGTATTTTCTATAGTCTGAACTATAGCTTGGACTATAGTCACGTCTATAGTCTTAGCTAAAGTCTCGTAAATAGTCGTGACTCGTCTATAATCTAGACTATAGTTTTGGCTATAGTCTGGACTATTGTTTCTTCTATAGTCTGGACTATAGTCTCGTTTATAATCCATAGCCTCGTCTATAGTCCAGACTATAGACTAGACTATAGTCCAGACAATAGACTTTAGTCTGAATATAGTCTCGTCTATAGTCTGGACTATAGACTATAGTCACGTCTATAGTCACGTCTATAGTCTCGTCTATAGTCTGGACTATTGTCTCGTTTATAATCTATAGTCTCGTCTTTATGAGGACTATTGTCTCGTCTATAGTTTATTCTAGACTATAATCTGGACTATAGTATCGTCTATAGTCTGGACTATAGTATCATCTATAGTCTGGACTATAGTATTGTCTATAGTCTGGATTATAGTATTGTCTATAGTCTGGACTGTAGTATTGTCTATAGTCTGGACTGTAGTATCGTCTATAGTCTGGACTATAGTCTCGTCTACAGTCTCATCTATAGTCTAGACTATAGTCTCGTCTATAGTCTGGACTATAGTATCGTCTATAGTCTGGACTATAATATCGTCTATAATCTGGGACTATAGTATTGTCTATAGTCTGGAATATAGTTTCGTCTACAGTCTGGACTATAGTATCGTCTATAGTCTGGATTATAGTATAGTCTATAGTCTGGACTATCGCACGCCTATAGTCTGGACTATAGTATCGTCTATAGTCTGGACTATAGTATCGTCTATAGTCTGGACTATAGAAATCGTCTATAGTCTGGACTATAATATCATCATAGTCTTGGAATATAGTATCGTCCTAGTATCGTCTAGTCTGGACTATAGTATCGTCTATAGTCTGGAATATAGTTTCGTCTACAGTCTGGACTATAGTATCGTCTATAGTCTGGATTATAGTATAGTCTATAGTCTGGACTATAGTATCGTCTATAGTCTGGAATATAATATCGTCTATAGTCTGGACTATAGTATCGTCTATAGTCTGGACTATAGTATCGTCTATAGTCTGGACTATAGCATCGCCTATAGTCTGGACTATAGTATCGTCTATAGTCTGGACTATAGTCTCGCCTATAGTCTGGACTATAGTCTCGTTTATAATCCATAGCCTCGTCTATAGTCCAGACTATAGACTAGACTATAGTCCAGACAATAGACTTTAGTCTGAAATATAGTCTCGTCTATAGTCTGGACTATAGACTATAGTCACGTCTATAGTCACGTCTATAGTCTCGTCTATAGTCTGGACTATTGTCTCGTTTATAATCTATAGTCTCGTCTTTATGAGGACTATTGTCTCGTCTATAGTTTATTCTAGACTATAATCTGGACTATAGTATCGTCTATAGTCTGGAATATAATATCGTCTATAGTCTGGACTATAGTATCGTCTATAGTCTGGACTATAGTATCGTCTATAGTCTGGACTATAGCCTGGGACTATAGTCTGGACTATAGCCTGGACTATAGTCTGGACTATAGTCTCGCCTATAGTCTGGACTATAGTCTCGTCTACAGTCTCATCTATAGTCTAGACTATAGTCTCGTCTATAGTCTGGACTATAGTATCGTCTATAGTCTGGACTATAATATCGTCTATAATCTGGACTATAGTATTGTCTATAGTCTGGAATATAGTTTCGTCTACAGTCTGGACTATAGTATCGTCTATAGTCTGGATTATAGTATAGTCTATAGTCTGGACTATAGCATCGCCTATAGTCTGGACTATAGTATCGTCTATAGTCTGGACTATAATATCATCTATAGTCTGGACTATAGTATCGTCTATAGTCTGGACTATAGTATCGTCTAAAGTCTGGACTATAGTATCGTCTATAGTCTGAACTATAGTATCGTCTATAGTCTGGACTATAATATCATCTATAGTCTGGACTATAGTATCGTCTATAGTCTGGACTATAGTATCGTCTATAGTCTGGAATATAGTTTCGTCTACAGTCTGGACTATAGTATCGTCTATAGTCTGGACTATAGTATCGTCTATAGTCTGGACTATAGTATCGTCTATAGTCTGGACTATAGTATCGTCTAAAGTCTGGACTATAGTATCGTCTATAGTCTGAACTATAGTATCATCTATAGTCTGGACTATAGTATCGTCTAAAGTCTGGACTATAGTATCGTCTATAGTCTGGACTATAGTATCGTCTATAGTCTGGAATATAGTTTCGTCTACAGTCTGGACTATAGTATCGTCTATAGTCTGGATTATAGTATAGTCTATAGTCTGGACTATAGTATCGTCTATAGTCTGGAATATAATATCGTCTATAGTCTGGACTATAGTATCGTCTATAGTCTGGACTATAGTATCGTCTATAGTCTGGACTATAGTATCGTCTAAAGTCTGGACTATAGTATCGTCTATAGTCTGAACTATAGTATCGTCTATAGTCTGGACTATAGTATTGTTTATAGTCTGGACTATAGTATTGTTTATAGTCTGGACTATAGTATCGTCTATAGTCTGGACTATAGTATCGTCTATAGTCTGGACTATAGTATCGTTTATAGTCTCGACTATAGTATCGTCTATAGTGTGGACTATAGTATCGTCTATAGTGTGGACTATAATAGTCTTGTCTATAGTCTGGACTATTTTCTCGTTTATAGTTTGGACTCATGTATAGTCTGTGTTATATTAGTCTTATCTATATAATCTATGCTATAATCTCGTTTAAATTATATACCGTAGTCTCATCTCTAGTTTGGACTAGTTTCGTCTATTATCTGAACAAACATTGAATAAATTCTCCCCCCAACGTAGGGTACTTTAAAACCATAAAAATACCTTTCGATTATATTATTAAACCATTAAATAAATAACAGAAATCTTTAAAAGTCATAAAATTATACAAAAATTAAAAGAACTTTAGAACTCGCACACAAAATATCATATTATCAATTATCACCCAAGTGAGAAACAATGGAGCGTAACACAGACTTTTACTGGAAAAATATTAAGACTTTATAATGGATATGGAAACAATAAATAAACACTATATGTCTCTTTGTCTTTCATTCATTCACTTTCTTTAATATTTATTACTAAAATTAGCTTTAAGAGCTAAATACTAAATCTTAAATCGTAAAAAAAAACAATTACATTTAGAGACAACCCTCAGGCTTAACTTGACCACACAAGCTTGTCGAAGGATTGAAATAAAGTTCAGGAGGGCATTTCAGGAAAGTCGTTTGCATAGCTCCACCTTTTTTGAAGCAGTAGATGTAGCTGGAAGTAGAAAAATTAAATGTAAAATGAGTACATTTAAATGACTCTATATAGCAATAGAACAATCTTTCGATTAGTCTATGGACTTGTTTTTTGATTAGTCAAAGATCTTGACTTTGGAAGAAATCCACGGACTCTATTAAGTAGTATATGAATGAATCTTTAGATAAGTAATAAATGAATCAGACTATTTACTAGTCAGTGGACTAGTAAAGTATATGATCTATAGGAAAATATATTGAAAACTATGGACTTGCCAATGCTATAGTATATGGATGAATCTTTTAACTAGTTATGGACTGGTCTATAAGGTTATCTATAAACTAATCTAATGACTAATGAATGGATCATACTATTTACTACTCAATGGACTAGTAAACCAAATGATATATAGGAAAATCTATTAATTAGTCTATGATTAGTCTATGTCTAAAGATCAGTTTTGGACTGGTCTGTGGGCTAGTCCATTGACTAGTCTCTGAACTAGTCTAGGAACTAATCTGTGGGCTTGTTTATAGACAAATCTATTTGCTAGACTATGGACTTGCCAATGCTATAGTATATTGACAGGTGACCCAATAATACCTACTAAAAGGTTTTATCTCATTTCCTCTTAGTGTGTTTCAATGCCAGTTATCCCACGTTATGGTCGAAACTAGTTTATGGACTATTGATCAGTCTAATGACTATTGAATGGATCAGACTATTAACTAGTCAATGGATTAGTAAAGTAAATGGTCTATAGGATAGTCTATTAACTAGTCTATGAACACGTTTAGGGAACTGGTTAATGGCCTGGTCTATGGACTGTTCTATTAACTATTTTATGGACTAAATTATTGACTAGTTTCTGTACTAGTCAACAGAGTAGTTAATGAACTATATATATGGATTAGACTATTAACTTGACCTGTCTGTGGACTAGTCTATGAACTTATCTATTGGTTAGTCTATTATTAGCTAGAATATGGACTAGTCTATGCAATAGTATATTGACAGGCGATCCAATATAACCTACTACATGGTTATATCTCATTTAGTTCCACTTAATGGATTTCAATCATTCAACGAGTCTTAGAGATTAAACCGAAATATAATTTTCTTAATAGTTTCCTGATTAAAACTTACTTTTTACAGGTGGTATCATTTGGATAGGGATAACGTCCAGCTGCTGTCTGTTGTGAGCATACAAGTTCAGCTGGATTTTCTGTGGTGGTGGGTTCTTCTGTAGTTGTTGTAATGACTTCTGGAGGTGTAGGAGCAAATATCGTTGTTGTAGTGATCTCTTCGGTTGTTGTGGTAATTTTTTCTGTAGTTGTGGTAATCGGTTCTGTTGTATACTTTTCTGTTGTTGTTGTTGCTGTAGTATCCTTTTCTGTTGTTGTTGTCGTTGTATCCTTTTCTGTTGTTGTTGTCGTTGTATCCTTTTCTGTTGTTGTGGTTGTATCCTTTTCTGTTGTTGTCATTGTTGTACCCATTTCTGTCGTTGTTGTGGGTAATTCAGTTGTTGTCGTTGGTTCTGGTGTTGTAGTCACAGGCACATCAATTGGATCGTAAAGATCACAAAATTCGATTTCGTTCTCTTTACAGCTGGGAACACATGGATATTCCTTATTTTTTCCTTTACTTATATCACAGATTTGATCTTCTGGACATGTTAAGCGTATATCACTTAATTCACCATCAAGACACATGGTAAATGTTGTACGACTTGTACAGGCAAACATTCCATCAGCATTTGGCTCTTTACTACACTTGCCGCAATTCGAGGTATCACCACAAGCAGGAGAGACGGGTAAGTCTTTATCCATACAAGCTTTACCTTTTATTGTGCATATTTCATTCTCTCCTAAACACGAAAACTTTAATGAGGTATCGGGAACATCTAAAGCAAAAAAATTTTGAATTGATTTGTTTTACAGGAAATATTTTTAAAATATTTTTACTTCCAAAACATGGATGAAACTCGGTTTCACTTATACAGGCCACACCATTTCGTTCATTACATACATGACAAACTGCTTTAGCATATTGGATACATCCAATACTTAAGGCAAAAATAAACTAAATTACAAATTTTATTAGTTTTAAAAAATTTTAATTTTTATATTTTCAAAACTTACCACCAATTTTAACATATTTTTTTCTAGCTTTAATTTTAAACGTAAACTTTTCTGCTTAAAATCTTTGTCCCAATTGAATGTTTTCTAGATATATTTTTTGTTTTTATATCTTTTTACGATTTTCACAGACTTTTGTTATCTTTTATTTGATACTATTGCATCAAATCTTCACACTGTTCAATGTCAATGGGATTATATATTTCGTCTGAACCATGTTTTCTTTAAGAATATGTTTATCTACCAAATAAAATTATTACCGCGTGTTTGAAGATAATATTCGAAAGTTCCATTAATACTTTGTTGACAATATTTTTGAAAATCTTTTCCTACTAACTCAATAATGTTATCTCAATATTCTTGGGAAAGTGTGTAAAAATTATCACATATAAATATTATTGCCAAATTTTTGACAACTTTTCAATGTCGAAGTATTTAACTCGTTAAAAGGGATGAAATTTTGTATGTACAAATTGGATGTATGCAAAACCAACTTTAAAAATGTTTAAAAGTATTCGATCTACGCATATTTCGAAATTTCCAACTCATTGACATGGGTCTTTATGGGTAGATATTTTGGTTATTAACTACCAGGGCTATGTATTATGGTATTTTGTTATCTTTGTTAATCAATATTAATATGAAAATCAGGGAGATTTTCGGAATAGGTTTTTAATTTTTTAATAATATATGTTTTGATTATAAAGTGATTCTCAATTGTGTACCGATATTGATCTGTTGTAATCGGAATATTAAAATTAAAAATTAGTGGACTTACCGTTTTATATGTGGAACTGCGAAGTATTCTGTAAATAAAACAATAAAAAAGACTCGATTATGTTAATGTCAAGAAAGGATTGAGTACAGTAGAGTAGAGTTTTATTTGTGTGCCTCCATTGTAGGCTATCAATAGGGATGTCGTGGGTTCAATTCCCACCAGAAGCTGATCTTCATTTACTAACTAACTAACTAACTAACTAACTCAACTAACTAACTAACTAACTAACTAACTAACTAACTAACTAACTAACTAACTAACTAAACTAACTACTAACTAACAACTAACTACTAACCAACTAACTAACTAACTAACTAACTAACTAACTAACTACTACTAACTAACTAACTAACTAACTAACTAACTAACTACCTAACTAACTAACTAACTAACTAACTAACTAACTAACTAACTAACCTAACTAACTAACTAACTAACTAACTAACTAACTAACTAACTAACTAACTACTAACTAACTAACTAACTACTAACTAACTAACTAACTACTAACTAACTAACTAACTAACGACTACTAACTAACTACTAACTAACTAAACTAACTAACTAAACTAACTAACTAACTAACTAACTAACTAACTAACTAACTAACTAACTAACTAACTAACTAACTAACTACTAACTAACTAACTAACTAACTAACTAACTCTAACTAACTAACTAACTAACTAACTAACTAACTAACTAACTACTAACTAACTAACTAACTAACTAACTAACTAACTAACTAACTACTAACTAACTAACTAACTAACTAACTAACTAACTAACTAACTAACTAACTAACTACTACTAACTAACTAACTAACTAACTAACTAAAACTACTAACTAACTAACTACTAACTAACTAACTACTAACTAACTAACTAACTAACTAACTAACTAACTAACTAACTACTAACTAACTAACTAACTAACTAACTAACTGACTGACTACTAACTAACTAACTAACTAACTAACTAACTAACTAACTAACTAACTACTAACTAACTAACTACTAACTACTAACTAACTAACTACTAACAACAACTAACTAACTAACTACTAACTAACTAACTAACTAACTAACTAACTAACTTACTACTTACTAACTAACTACTAACCAGCTAACTACTAACTAACTAACTAACTAACTAACTAACTAACTAACTAACTAACTAACTACTACGAATAATATTTAAAAAAATGTTTCGCATATGTATATTAGGGATATAACTATTGATATTCTTTACAAATATGCAAGTTGGCATATCATAGTCGAATAGAGTATTAAAAACTATGAGAAACTACATTAATTTTTTTTCGCGGTTGGCTAAAAAAATTCACGCTCCAAATGTCTGTCCGTCTGTTTTTTATAATCAGTTTTTTGAAGGCTCCATATGTCTTTAGTTGTTTAAAACCCGCAAAATCGGTCCATAAGAATCGGAGATATGGCCAAAACAAATATGATCAACAAATAATTTTTTATGGACTTTTTGATTTAGGGATATAAAATAGTATATTTGCGAAAAATCAAAAAATTCGGAGATATAGGCAATGATGAGTCGCGATGTGACAAAAATATACTTCTAGGTAGAAATGCCCATTTATAAATATTTTAATCTTAAAATTAAAAAAAATTAAAAATTTAAAAAAAAATGGTTTATATTAGAAATTAGGCTTGGTGCGTGATGTTTTTGATTTCAAATGACCTAAAAAAATATTTTCAATAATTATACAACATTGGCCATCTCGTGGTGGTATGCCAAAAATTTCGCCAAATTAGTTATATCCCTAATGTATATACATATACATTTTGGACCAAAAATACTCTAATAATAAATTTAACTATTTTTCCTGCGATAAGCTCAAAATTACGAAATGTTTGAAACCCTTTTCGAAAAGATTGCAGAACTTTCTTTGAATATGTTGCGCGTACATCAAGAATTTCCATCCCATGCAATATATGTATGTATAGGAAACTGAGGCCTCTTTCAAAAAATATATACATATATTTTTTTTATTAAGTATATTAGTCGGCATAGTTAGAGACGTAGTCCCATAAAAAATTGGTCCACGGGACATCTTAACGTTTATACGTTTTTAAATTATACTTTTTTAACTTAAATTTAAATTATATGTATTATGTAAATGTTAAATATGTATGTGATCAGAATGACTATCAATTTCATTTCTTTACATTTCAAAGCGTTTTTATGAAATCATATAGAACGGAAAACCCTTGGTACTATTACACAGGGAGACAAAATAAACGAAAGTTGAAATTCCTGGGAAATTATACTATTTTTCTGAAAGTTGGATCCGAGTAGAACAATAATCAAATTTTGAAATTTGCCAAACACCTCCAAAATCTTGAGATGCGGGTTTTCATACCTATAACCACTGTAATGGATCCAATGGAACTCAGTAACATAGTTTAATCTTAACCGATTTTAAGTTTCGCAGAAGCTGAAGCCTTTATAAAGACATATGTTTAAGTAACCTATATATAAAAAAACCCTGTAACATTAAGATACACTCCCCTAAAATCTGTAATACAAGTGACAACCTTGACCCGCATCAACTCATTTTAAAGTGTTAAAATAACTCTTTAATATTCTCACGATCTAATCAAGATTGCAAAAGTAACACTTTAGATAGAGTTTGGTACTCTGTCTATTAAAATTTGTTAGAAAATTACAAAATATGCTCAAGGTAAGTTCTATGAAGATAATATTTAGTATTATTTATTTACTTATGGATTATAACCGAAACAATGGTAAATCATAAAATATGTTGCTTCTATTTCAGAATATGTGCTCTTAAATTATCTTATCTGTTGCAAAGATAAAATATCATTTTCTTAATTTCAGTAAGAAAATGAAAGCATTTAATTTAATATAAAAACGTGTGAATATTTGATAAAATTATTTAGTAACTTTAAGATCATTCACAACAATACTTCAATTTAAAAACAGCAAAAAGAAAATAAAATTTTAGAAAAATGGCTCAATCAACCTTGTTAAAATTGGTAAGTATTTAATTAAAACCATGCTAATATTTTCAGAATTAAATTTAATAAAAAAAATGTATTTGTGTTGCAATAGTCCTTCCTTTTGGCTGCTGCCTTTATCCTGGCCCCCACTTACACTAAAGCTAAATGCAATTTATGCACTGATTATGGTATTGCTTGTGTCAATGAAACAGCTTTCAATATGTGCTTTGGAGGCAAACCAGATACTAGCAACGTTTACAGCTGCCCTCCGGGTAAAGTTTGCAGTGCCACAAGCTTAAAATGCGCAAATGTCTCTGGAAGCGCACAACCCGCTTGTGAACCTAATAAAGGATGCGGAATTTGTGATGGTTTCAAATTATTTGCCTGTACAAGTCGCACAACTTTCGCTCAATGTAATCCTGATAAAACTTTGAGTCAAAAGAACATAAATTGTCCCAAAGGTTTAACATGTAGTACACAAAGTATCGAAATATGCGTAAATGAGTGCGAGAGGCCAACTACTTCTGAATGCGATAGAGAGACACCATTGTAAATATTGTGTTATATATTTGTGAAATTAATGACTTTATGAAATACATGTTTGCGTTTTTTAATATTTAATTAGTTGTTATTTATTTTCGAAATTGAGAAAACGTACTCAATTTTCGACTTAAGGTAATTTGGGGGACCAGAACCTGACATTATCAAACTGTTAAAAGATAAAAAGCTTTCCTTGTAAACATAAAGAGCTTTAGGATGGAAAGTTGACCGAAAAAAACTGGCGCTCTCTTCGATATACATATATGTGTTAGTATATAGGTAGCTGGGTGCTCGAGATCCGGTACTTAAAACTTTAAGGGTACAATCATTTAAGATATACCTAAATATGAGTAAATATTGAATCCTGCTTTGAACCCATACAGAGACTAATCAGAAGTGAAGCGGGCATGTGTATATGACTAAAGCCGTGCTATATGTCAGCATTAAATCTGATCTCCAGCTCATCTAGAGATGCTTCAAAAATATCATACAGGGTCACGGCAAACAAGCACCTTGAACTAATTTTTAGGCGGTTGACGCTAAAGTTATAAAGCAACAAAGATCAAGTGAGACCCAAGTGTCTGAAGTTTAGTAATTGAAATCATCAACTAGCTTGACATTATTATCTGAGTTACAAATCATCATTATCATTAGAAGGCCCAAGCCTTAATAAAAACTGCATTGGGAGAATTGGTAAACTCTTGCCCAACACAAAGATATACATATTGAAACAGCACTAACACTTATCTATCTTGGAGCAGTAAACTGGACGATTGAACAAGATCGCATGAGGGACCGAGTTCCTCTGACTCCTTGGCATTTCGTAAGGTGTGAATAAATATGGGCCTAATAACCTCAGCTTAACCATAGACGAATCTAAATGGTTAAAATTATTTTCCATCACTGCCAACAACAGATGGATAGTTTTATTTAATGGAAAATTTGGCTCTAATCCAAGACTGCACTTTTGTAAATCTAGCAAAAAGTCGTGATCTTATCAAGAGAAGAGAGTTTCTACTGCCATATTTTTGGTATATAAATATAGGTCGACTATTTTTAAAGACATCAGTGATATAACTCCATAACCATTTTTGATTGTAGGATATCTTTTGAATAGTCGTTTGCAATTATTAAATATACAACTAACAAAGGCCAGTACCCTAATGAAATCCTAGAAAAATTGATTGTTCCATTTCAAGCCTCGTTAAAAACACATCATCTCCCACATTGGTTAGTTCAGACGACCTACGAGATCTCGAACTCTAAAACCGCCTTTCTATGACTCAGTTTATAGGAAAATCCTGCAACAAAGGAATTCAATAATAATGCAGCTAAGGAAAAATTACGCAAAACTTGTAAACATGGTGAAAAGAAACAATAAATCGAAATGTTAGGACTACTATCGTCACATTTTTAAAGGGGAAACCAGAATAGCTGAAAAGTATAGTTCTGTGGAAAAACACTTTGGATCTGTGTATCGAAGAAAATGACCTTGACTCTTTGGGTTTCGTATACATTTACGAAGCATTGTTTAATAAGATTATGTCCGATTGTATGGATTACCCACGGTCATAACAATTTCTATGTAACTGTCCCGATCAATACCGCTGAAATCTCCATCTTATTGTTATTATTGCAATATCTCGGGGAAAAGAGATGCTACCTCTACTCTGCCGGGTCTATTGGAATGATGGAGTCGAACCAGAGCACTATATATAATGTGGCACTACGGGTGGCCAGTTGCCCGCAGAACTTTTCCTGGATGGTCAGTTGGTTGAGGTTCCTTCAGGATCCATTTAGTGGCTGTGGTTTAAACCCAAATTCGAAGGGAAAGTATATTGGTTTAAGAACTGATATATCCTATGCTATATATATCTGGTTTCTCTCCGGTGCAGTTGGCAATTAACAGATGTCACTGGGTGATGTGACATGCTGGATTCCTGAACCCGTTGAGTATCTCTTACTCTTCGCGTAGTAGGGCGCTATTAATTATCAGGTTGACACTTGAAAGTTGCCTGTCATTCTGTAAATCGTACTTTATGGTCTGAGAATGGAACTGATGTATGCTGGTGAACGATCGAGAAAGACTCCCTTGTCACGGAGGTATCCTGATTTATTGGTTGGATATTACGGAATACCAAATACGTCTCTAGGAGCTGTTGCCGAATAAACAGGATCATCTCAGTAGTGTTGTAGCGCGGGCTTTAAGAGTTTACGGAATGCACTGGAATGGGTCATTAGTTGATGCATTCTAAAGACATTCTCTTCCGGTTTACCGGAAGATTGATGTCACGTAGTGTTGGGGTTGCCCCTTCTATTGACTTTAGACCAGTGATTGCTTTTTCCTTGTCGGTGTATACATTGGGATTTATCCCATGTTGCCTGTCATTCCGCAGATAGATAGCTCAAATATTTCAGCAAAATGCTTGTACATGGACCGGCACAGCCATGTACTAAAATTGGCACCTGAATTCTTCATAGAAGGATTAAGGGTCGTGTAGTAAACCGTTCTAAAGTCTACTTAGTGAATGAAAAAAATGGGAAATGAGGCCGTTAGGATAGGTGTTCACGTTAAGCACTTAGATTTTCTTGTCCCGATAAATAGTCGGTCTTTCTGTAGGCAATCTTAAGCTTTAATTACAGATCTTAATAAGTCTAAGTTTAACTATATTCAGCTCAATTCTAGTTCTTTATGTAGTCCGTGTTTAGTTTTAATTAGCAGTTTCTATAAATACATACATAAAATTGTTTGTTCAACAACCTTTATGCCTAATTAAATCAATAATTTAATTAAAAGTTAAGTAATAAATTAAATAAAATATTAACCTTAACCTAAATTTTTTAATTTCATTAATGTCAATTTTCCTAAATTAAGTATTTTTTTCAGTTATCTTTTTTTACACCTAAATTATGACGAAATTTTATAATAGTAGACATAATTTGGTATAAATTTTTCATTTAATATTCCCATTATCTTTCGTATTTGTGTAATAAAATATATTTATTTAAAATTTTACAGTTTCATCACAAGTAAAAACAACTGAAATTTAAAAAAAAAAAAAACTGAAATAATAATAACAAAGTGTAATAATTATAGTGTGAAATGATTATATAGTCAGTTGTTGGTGTACGATTTACAAAATAAGTATTTATTTAGAAAAGAGTTTATCATAATTTTTGTGTATCCCACATTAGTGGTTCATTCATTCTAACGGATGAGTGGCTAATTGCGTAGGTTGTGGTGAAAAATTGTTTACAGTGAAACGTAATGTGTTTAATGATCAAATTTTGATTTGGTGGAAAATAAAACTTAGTGCTAGTTTTCACTACTTTGGCTAAATCAAAAAAATTTCACATAAGAAAATATCGATTTGAACCAAAGAAGTAAAAATCTAACACCTTGTGCTCCTATAGATGTTCAAAAATGATATCCTTGTTGCATATAATGGCCTTAAATGGTTAAAGGATGTCAGTATCATTGAAAGACCCAAGTCTTAATAAAAACTGCATTGAAGGAATTGGTGAATTCTTGCCCAAGCTAAGACCATACTTTTGTAATTCTAGTAAAGATGTTTTATTGAAGGATATCTCTTTAATAGCTAATACGTCTATAGTCGTTTGCACTTAGTCAATATACAACTTACTTAAGCCAGAACCAGAAAGGAGTTCTAGAACTAACTAACTAACTAACTAACTAACTAACTACTAACTAACTAACTAACTAACTAACTAACTAACTAACTACTAACTAACTAACTAACTAACTAACTAACTAACTAACTAACTAACTAACTAACTAACTAACTAACTACTACTAACTAACTAACTAACTAACTACTAACTAACTAACTAACTACTAACTAACTAACTAACTAACTAACTAACTAACTAACTACTAACTAACTAACTAACTAACTAACTAACTAACTAACTAACTAACTAACTAACTAACTAACTAACTAACTAACTAACTAACTAACTAACTAACTAACTAACTAACTAACTAACTAACTAACTAACTAACTAACTACTAACTAACTAACTAACTAACTAACTAACTAACTAACTAACTAACTAACTAACTAACTAACTAACTAACTAACTAACTAACTAACTAACTAACTAACTAACTAACTAACTAACTAACTAACTAACTAACTAACTAACTAACTAACTAACTAACTACTAACTAACTAACTAACTAACTAACTAACTAACTAACTAACTAACTAACTAACTAACTAACTAACTAACTAACTAACTAACTAACTAACTAACTAACTAACTAACTAACTAACTAACTAACTAACTAACTAACTAACTAACTAACTAACTAACTAACTAACTAACTAACTAACTAACTAACTAACTAACTAACTAACTAACTAACTAACTAACTAACTAACTAACTAACTAACTAACTAACTAACTAACTAACTAACTAACTAACTAACTAACTAACTAACTAACTAACTAACTAACTAACTAACTAACTAACTAACTAACTAACTAACTAACTAACTAACTAACTAACTAACTAACTAACTAACTAACTAACTAACTAACTAACTAACTAACTAACTAACTAACTAACTAACTAACTAACTAACTAACTAACTAACTAACTACTAACTAACTAACTAACTAACTAACTAACTAACTAACTAACTAACTAACTAACTAACTAACTAACTAACTAACTAACTAACTAACTAACTAACTAACTAACTAACTAACTAACTAACTAACTAACTAACTAACTAACTAACTAACTAACTAACTAACTAACTAACTAACTAACTAACTAACTAACTAACTAACTAACTAACTAACTAACTAACTAACTAACTAACTAACTAACTAACTAACTAACTAACTAACTAACTATACTAACTTAACTAACTACTAACTAACTAACTAACTAACTACTAACTAACTAACTAACTAACTAACTACTAACTAACTAACTAACTAACTAACTAACTAACTAACTAACTAACTAACTAACTAACTAACTAACTAACTAACTACTAACTAACTATACTAACTAACTAACTAACTAACTAACTAACTAACTAACTAACTAACTACTAACTAACTAACTAACTAACTAACTAACTAACTAACTAACTAACTACTAACTAACTAACTAACTAACTAACTACTAACTAACTAACTAACTAACTAACTAACTAACTAACTAGACTAACTAACTAACTAACTAACTAACTACTAACTAACTAACTAACTAACTAACTACTAACTAACTAACTAACTAACTAACTAACTAACTAACTACTAACTAACTAACTAACTAACTAACTAACTATAACTAACTAACTAACTAACTAACTAACTAACTAACTAACTAACTAACTACTAACTAACTACTAACTAACTAACTACTAACTAACTAACTAACTAACTAACTAACTAACTAACTAACTAACTAACTAACTACTACTAACTAACTAACTAACTAACTAACTAACTACTAACTAACTACTAACTACTAACTAACTACTAACTAACTAAACTAACTAACTAATTAATAAACTAACTAACTAACTACTAACTAACTAACTACCTAACTAACTAACTAACTAACTACTAACTAACTAACTAACTAACTAACTAACTAACTAACTAACTAACTAACTACTCTAACTAACTAACTAACTAACTAACTAACTAACTAACTAACTAACTAACTACTAACTAACTAACTAACTAACTACCAACTACTAACTAACTAACTAACTAACTAACTAACTAACTAACTAACTAACTAACTACTACTAACTAACTAACTAACTAACTAACTAACTAACTAACTAACTAACTAACTAACTAACTAACTAACTAACTAACTAACTAACTACTAACAACTACTAACTAACTAACTAACTAACTAACTAACACTAACTAAACGAACTACCTAACTAACTAACTAACTAACTACTAACTAACTAACTAACTAACTAACTAAACTAACTAACTAACTAACTAACTAACTAACTAACTACTAACTAACTAACTACTAACTAACTACTAACTAACTACTACTAACTAACTACTAACTAACTAACTAACTAACTAACTAACTAACTAACTACTAACTAACTAACTAACTAACTAACTAACTAACTAACTAACTAACTAACTAACTAACTACTACTAACTAACTAACTAACTAACTAACTAACTAACTAACTAACTAACTAACTAGCTAGCTACCTTGTGATCTCACATATTTTTCTTAAAAAAAAATATTTTTTGATCCCTTTTACTCATTTCAAAACACTGTGAGTAGCATGACGTATAGTATTTTTAATTTTTTAGCTGGCGACTTGTTGTTTGTTGCATTTATTTAAAATCAAATAAACCGGCAAAAAAATAAAAGCCACCAAAATCAAACAAATGTGTAAATTTTATTTTAAAAACTGCAAAATTATTTGCACCAGGAAGTTGTCAACATAGATTTATTTTACCAAACACAGAAATTAACATTTTATATAAAACTTTAAAAAACATTTTGCAGAGAGAAAAAAATTAAGGGCTTTTTTAAAATTACTTTTATAGTTTATGAAAGTATGTATTACGTTAACATTTTAAACATTAAAAATAAATGTCACTACCAATGCTAAAACATCTCTTAACACTTGTCTCACATGACTTTTTACTGTCACACTTAAAATCACAACATTAAAGCCACAAAAAGAAAAATATATATTTTTGTTAAAAATTTCCAGTTGTGAGTGAGAATAAAGCCGCCAACACATTTCACGCATTTAATTGTTGCCATTGCTGGCTTAACTAATTGCTGCAAACACATATTGTCAACAACTCGAAATAAAAATCTAAAGCGACATGAATTAAAAATTGTATAAAATTTTCATTGGAATTTTTTTTAAAACAAAAGTCTTTTTGTTTTCTCATTTTCATTTAATTTCGGTCATTAAACTTTTAGTTAATAATTTCATATAAATAATTTGGCTTTAAAGCGCAAGCTTAACAGTTTTTCGCGTTATTTACAACCGTTAACTTCAAACCGGAAAAAAGAATTGTGTTATTTAATCGAAATTGTGATTTTGTTATTAACAACATGCATATCCTTTATAGGATGTTTCTTAGATCTTGGAAATCGGATGTTGCTTTTGTTTATATAGCGATTTTTGTGTTCAGTGTGGTGGCTTCAAAAGTGGAAAATAGTTCTTGGAAGGATTTTCTATTTGGCTCTAAATGGAAAATGCCATCAGCGCCGCCTTCAGCTCGTGATAGTAGATGTAGGTGAAGATTTCGGGAAATGAAAATAATTTTGTTTAAAAAATTACATAATAAAACTTATAAAATGAATGAAACGGAAATATATTACGAAAATAAACTAATTTTATTATGCAATGAAATATTATGTGCTGTAAAAATTTAAACTTTTCTTTAAAAAAAAATAAATTTTTGGAAATCTAAAAAAATTATTTACCAATCGGATAACAACAAAAACCTACATACGCGGGTACAGCGCAAATTTTCCTCAATATACACACTTTTTGTTTTAATCGGACAGATGTTTTCGCATTATGTAAAAGACAGATATCTGAGAATGCTGATACATAGGATTTGTATCGTTTTTCGGGGCATTGTAATGTACGTGCGATTTCAATGTTCACAACTCCTTATGGCTTCGTTATGCAAGTCAATGTTCCTATACCTATATTCGAATCGTCTCCTTTTCGCTCTCTGAACTTCACAAGGTTTCACAATAGGATACAAATTATTATTACGAAAAGGCTCACTAATTGCTAGTTCTCCAATTTCGAAGACTTAACTGACCCGACTGATAAAGCTAACTCTTTAGTTGAATTATGTACAAGTAATTCTTGCTTCCCAAAAGCAATCAACCACTGCCGGAGTTATAAAGAGTATCAGTAACTATGTCAAATTTCTAAAATAGTTTTAGCGGATATCAACATCTAGACCTGATGCCATATCGACATTGGTCTTGAAGCAAAGCTAATCGACACTACTTCGTCCTTTAGCTAATATTTTCAGTATTTTATATCATGTTGGGAAATTCACAGCATGCTGGAAGAGTGCTAATGAAATGCCAATCCCTAAAAATGGAGAATGCTAATTGCTTAACGTGAACAACTGCCTTGATGGCCTTATTTCATGGTGGTCTTTTTCATCCACTTGGTAGACTTGAGAACGGTCTACCAAGCGCCCCATAATCCTTCTATGAAGAACTCAGGTGGCAATTTTTTTACATGGCTGTGCCGGTCCATGCAAAAGCACTTTACTGAAGTGCTCGAGCTATCGAATCTCTTGCCATTGTAGCCCCGTTGCGAAAGGCAGCATGGGATCAATCTCAATGCAAACCCCGACAAGGAAAAAACAATCACTGGTCTAAAGTCAATACAACAAGGGGAGACAACCCTAACATCTGGTGAAATCAATCTTCCGGTATACCGGATGTTATGAAAGATGTAGGAATGTAGGAATTTTAAAAGTCGAATTTCCAAGTCGAGTAGAAGACCTCAACCATAAGTCGCGTAGCATGAAACAATATGGATCCTGTTGAGATGGCAACAGCACTGAGAATTTCTCTGAAGTAAAAGGTCTACTAAATAAGTACTAGTCTCCTATCGGACAGATAAGTCTTTACCGATCGTTCACCAACTTACATTAGTTCCATTCTCAGACCATAAAGAACGATCTACAGAATGACAGGCAACTACCAATTGCCAACCTGAAAATTTCCCAACCTATACTGGCGCCCTACTACGCGAAGAGTAAGAGATACTCAACAGGTTCAGGAATTCAGCATAAGATGCTCTGTCAAATCACCCAGTGACATCTGTTGAGATGGCAACAGCACCGAAGCCATAGAATATATCAGTCTTTAAACCAACAATCTCTCCCCGCGAATTTGGGTTAAAACCACAGCCACTACGTGGATCCCGAAGGAACCTCAACCAACTGACCAGCCAGGACAAGTCCTGCGTAATGCCAGATTATATGGTGGTCTAGTTCGACCGTATGTCAAACCATTCCAAGGAAAGGCCGGGGATACATTTGATCATCACCAGTTTATAGTCCCGGCTAGAGGTATTGGTACCACCTCTTTTCCTCGGGATATTGCAATGGAGATTTCTGCAATGTAACATGCCCCCCGGGGGACTAAAAAGGAAGAATATAATAACCCTGAAAATTATCGCCCAATTACAATCTGTTCCATCTTATTAGGTATTTAGAAGCCATCAATTTATTTAATTATCGCCATCGTGGCTATAGTAGAGGTCGCTCCATTTCCTACTTTTCGGAAAAATTATTTCATTTCATTCACCATTTTGACAAAAGTAAAGTGTGGCGATCGGTGGAGTGTGGTAATGTGGACTTATATTATTTATTTATTTCGAACATTCTCAGAGATCAAACTATACGAGTTGTTATAGATGGGATCTCATTAAACAAGTGTAAGATTATTCAGGGGGAAGGCTCAGTTTTTTTTTTCCTAAACGACTTTCTATGTAATACAAGTGCAATTTCTGGAAAACTAGAGACGCTACGGCCAAAAGAATGAACATCTGTGATCACTGTTATTTCCCAACAAAATTCCATTTGTATAGAAAACATAAAAGTTTGTTTTCTGGTGAACTTAGATGCGCTACTGTCAAAAGGATGAAAATCTGTGATCAATTGTTTTTATAAGAGAAAACAATATCAATTTTTATAAGAGAAAACAAGATCTGGTGAAAATATTAAGAACGAAGTAGTTAGTCAAGAGCTTACACTTTGTTTAGATATTTTGAGTGAAAACATAGAAGAGCCAAAATAAATTTGAGGTGTTAGAGCACCAGAATGACAATTTGCGATCGGTTTCTTCGACGAGTGAAAATTTTAAAAGCCTTTATTTTGGAAAGTAAAGACGCTGAAGGAAAAGAACAAAGACCTTTTATTGCATTTTATGTCGATCTAAAAGTTATAGAAATATTTTTTAGAAACTATTTCAAATATTTTATTTAAATCATATATCAACTACTGTAAATATAATGCCTAGTTTTCTTTCTAAGTTCTTCCCCTATTCAACATAGTTCCCATTGGACCGGCTCAATGTACAGCACCGTCTGGTGAGGTGGGAAATTGTTTACCCAATAAAGATTGTGCAATACGAGGAGGTATACCGGCTGGTCAGTGTGGCGGTGGTTATGGAATATGTTGTGTTTGTAAGTCTTTTTAAAACCGAAGACCAATTACAGTTAACATATAAAATTCTTATAGTTTTACAAACATGTGGTGGCATGATAAGAGAAAATAACACCTATTTTGTAAATCCTAATCATCCGGATACTTATGATGGTACCGGTAGTTGTCAAGTAACAGTACACAAAGTACATCCAGATATTTGTCAATTTAGGTAAATTATTTATTATTTTCGTTCATTATATTCCCGAAATCATTTATATATTTATTATCTAGATTGGATTTAGAAATGTTTTCTATAGCCCCTCCGGAAGCAGCTAATCATTTGTGCAATCAAGATCAATTACTCATATCTGGCAGCAGTCCAGTACCCAACATATGTGGCACCTCTTCGGGAGATCATAGTAGGTTTTATTAAATATATTAAATAAAAAATCTTTTAACTAATTAAAATTTCTCCTCTTGTAGTGTATATCGATGCTGGCTTGGGTCAAAGTAATCCAATTGTTATATCGGTTATAACCAGTAATACATTTCCCTCGCATTTGGCGTATACGAGTCTCACAAATACATTGCGGCAGTATAAGTCGTGCCGATCAAGGCTGCCTACAGTATTATACCGGCATAAGTGGTCGTGTACGTAGTTTCAATTTTAATACCGTTTCGGGTAGACAATTATCAAATCAAGATTATAGTATTTGTATACGTACGGAAAGGAATTTCTGTGGTATACAATATAATGCCTGCCCAGATTTGGGTAAGTGCGAATTTAATATTGTGTGAAAAATGTTGAATCGTTTTAAAAATACTTTTTTCCAGAAAACAATCGTTCGAGATCATTTACAATATCGGGTAATACTAACAATCCGGTGGGTACAATGGTTGGCGGAGGTACTCAAGTTACACAAAATACTTGCATACAAGATTGGCTCTTGATTGGTTGTATGCGTTCGGCAGATCGTATACCACCAGTTGAGCGCTTGTGAGGATCGTGTTTGCGGCGGTACGTTTAGTGCAGAAGTTGGAATGGTTCAGAAAACAGTACAAAGTAAGTAACAAAAATAACTCTTTGCAGCACTGCAAAAGCATCATATGTAAAGATAATAAAAATATCACTAGCAGTAGATTTTTAAACAATGCTTCAGATCAGCAAATAGTGAAATTCTGTGATCATTCGTATTTCCCACCAAAAGCCAATTTTTACAAGAGAAACTTAAAATCGGTTATAGTTCCTAATAACGCTCCAATTGACTAAAGTGAAAATCTGTGACCTCGTATTTCCCACCAAAACCAATTTTTATATCAAAAACTAAAATCGGCTGTAGTTCCTTAATAACGCTCCAATTGACTAAATAGTGAAAATCTGTGATCACTCATATTTCCCACCAAAAATCAATTTTTATATAAAATTAAAATCGGCTGTAGATCCTTAAATAACGCTCCAATTGACTAAATAGTGAAAATCTGTGATCACTCATATTTCCCACCAAAAATCAATTTTTATATGAAGAAACCTAAAATCGGCTGTAGTCCTTAAAAACGCTCCAATTGACTAAATAGTGAAAATCTGTGATCACTCATATTTCCCACCAAAAATCTATTTTTATAGAGAAACTAAAATCGGCTGTAGTTCCTTAAATAACGCTCCATTGACTAAATAGTGAAAATCTGTGATCACTCATATTTCCCACCAAAAATCTATTTTTATAAGAGAAACTAAAATCGGCTGTAGTTCCTTAAATAACGCTCCAATTGACTAAATAGTGAAAATCTGTGATCACTCATATTTCCCACCAAAAATCAATTTTTATATGAGAAACCTAAAAATCGGCTGTAGTTCCTTAAATAACGCTCCAATTGACTAAATAGTGAAAATCTGTGATCACTCATATTTCCCACCAAAAAACAATTTTTATAAGAGAAACCTAAAACCTGTAGTTCTTTAAATAACGCTTCAATTGACTCATATTTCCCACCAAAAGTCTATTTTATACGAGAAATCTAAAATTGGCTGTAAATCCTTAAATAATGCTCCAATTGACTAAATAATGAAAATCTGTGATCACTCATATTTCGCATATTTCTATTTTTAGAGAAACCTAAAATCGGCTGTAGTTCTTTAAATAACGCTCCAATTGACTAAATAGTGAAAATCTGTGATCACTCATATTTCCCACCAAAAATCAATTTTTATATGAGAGACCTAAAATCGGCTGTAGTTTCTTAAATAACGCTCCAATTGACTAAATAGTGAAAATCTATGATCACTCATATTTCTCACCAAAAATCTATTTTTATATGAGAAACCTAAAATCGGCTGTAGTTCCTTAAATAACGCTCCAATTGACTAAATAGTGAAAATCTGTGATCACCCATATTTCCCACCAAAAATCAATTTTTATATGAGAAACCTCAAATCGGCTGTAGTTCCTTAAATAACGCTCCAATTGACTAAATAGTGAAAATCTGTGATCACTCATATTTCCCACCAAAAAACAATTTTTATAAGAGAAACCTAAAACCTGTAGTTCTTTAAATAACGCTCCAATTGACTCATATTTCCCACCAAAAGTCTATTTTTATACGAGAAATCTAAAATTGGCTGTAAATCCTTAAATAATGCTCCAATTGACTAAATAATGAAAATCTGTGATCACTCATATTTCGCATATTTCTATTTTTATAAGAGAAACCTAAAATCGGCTGTAGTTCCTTAAATAACGCTCCAATTGACTAAATAGTGAAAATCTGTGATCACTCATATTTCCCACCAAAAATCAATTTTTATATGAGAAACCTAAAATCGGCTGTAGATCCTTAAATAATGCTCCAATTGACTAAATAGTGAAAATCTGTGATCACTCATATTTCCCACCAAAAATCAATTTTTATATGAGAAACCTAAAATCGGCTGTAGTTCTTTAAATAATGCTCCAATTGACTAAATAGTGAAAATCTGTGATCACTCATATTTCCCACCAAAAATCTATTTTTATAAGAGAAACCTAAAATCGGCTGTAGTTCCTTAAATAACGCTCCAATTGACTAAATAGTGAAAATCTGTGATCACTCATATTTCCCACCAAAAATCTATTTTTATAAGAGAAACCTAAAATCGGCTGTAGTTCTTAAATAATGCTCCAATTGACTAAATAGTGAAAATCTGTGATCACTCATATTTCCCACCAAAAATCAATTTTTATATGAGAAACCTAAAATCGGCTGTAGTTCCTTAAATAACGCTCCAATTGACTAAATAGTGAAAATCTGTGTTCACTCATATTTTCCACCAAAAATCAATTTTTATATGAGAAACCTAAAATCGGCTGTAGTTTCTTAAATAACGCTCCAATTGACTAAATAGTGAAAATCTGTGATCACTCATATTTCTCACCAAAAATCTATTTTTATATGAGAAACCTAAAATCGGCTGTAGTTCCTTAAATGACTCTCCGATTGACTAAATAATGAAAATCTGTGATCACTCATATTTCCCACCAAAAATCTGTTTTTATAAGAGAAATCTAAAATCGGCTGTAGTTCCTTAAATGACGCTCCGATTGACTAAATAGTGAAAATCTGTGATCACTCATATTTCCCACCAAAAATCAATTTTTATATGAGAAACTTAAAATCGGCTGTAGTTTCTTAAATAAAGCTCCAATTGACTAAATAGTGAAAATCTGTGATCACTCATATTTCCCACCAAAAATCTATTTTTATAAGAGAAACCTAAAATCGGCTGTAGTTCCTTAAGTAATGCTCCAATTGACTAAATAGTGAAAATCTGTGATCACTCATATTTCCCACCAAAAATCAATTTTTATATGAGAAACCTAAAATCGGCTGTATTTCTTAAATAGCGCTCCGATTGACTAAATAGTGAAAATCTGTGATCACTCATATTTCCCACCAAAAATCTATTTTTATAAGAGAAACCTAAAATCGGCTGTAGTTCCTTAAGTAATGCTCCAATTGACTAAATAGTGAAAATCTGTGATCACTCATATTTCCCACCAAAAATCAATTTTTATATGAGAAACCTAAAATCGGCTGTAGTTCCTTAAATAACGCTCCAATTGACTAAATAGTGAAAATCTGTGATCACTCATATTTCCCACCAAAAATCAATTTTTATATGAGAAACCTAAAATCGGCTGTAGTTTCCTTAAATAACGCTCCAATTGACTAAATAGTGAAAATCTGTGATCACTCATATTTCCCACCAAAAATCTATTTTTATAAGAGAAACCTAAAATCGGCTGTAGTTCCTTAAGTAACTGCTCCAATTGACTAAATAGTGAAAATCTGTGATCACTCATATTTCCCACCAAAAATCAATTTTTATATGAGAAACCTAAAATCGGCTGTAGTTCCTTAAATAACGCTCCAATTGACTAAATAGTGAAAATCTGTGATCACTCATATTTCCCACCAAAAATCAATTTTTATATGAGAAACCTAAAATCGGCTGTAGTTCCTTAAATAACGCTCCAATTGACTAAATAGTGAAAATCTGTGATCACTCATATTTCCCACCAAAAATCAATTTTTATATGAGAAACCTAAAATCGGCTGTAGTTCCTTAAATAACGCTCCAATTGACTAAATAGTGAAAATCTGTGATCACTCATATTTCCCACCAAAAATCTATTTTTATAAGAGAAACCTAAAATCGGCTGTAGTTCCTTAAATAACGCTCCAATTGACTAAATAGTGAAAATCTGTGATCACTCATATTTCCCACCAAAAATCAATTTTTATATGAGAAACCTAAAATCGGCTGTAGTTCCTTAAATAACGCTCCAATTGACTAAATAGTGAAAATCTGTGATCACTCATATTTCCCACCAAAAATCAATTTTTATATGAGAAACCTAAAATCGGCTGTAGTTCCTTAAATAACTGCTCCAATTGACTAAATAGTGAAAATCTGTGATCACTCATATTTCCCACCAAAAATCAATTTTTATATGAGAAACCTAAAATCGGCTGTAGTTCCTTAAATAACGCTCCAATTGACTAAATAGTGAAAATCTGTGATCACTCATATTTCCCACCAAAAATCTATTTTTATATGAGAAACCTAAAATCGGCTGTAGTTCCTTAAATAACGCTCCAATTGACTAAATAGTGAAAATCTGTGATCACTCATATTTCCCACCAAAAATCAATTTTTATATGAGAAACCTAAAATCGGCTGTAGTTCCTTAAATAACGCTCCAATTGACTAAATAGTGAAAATCTGTGATCACTCATATTTCCCACCAAAAATCAATTTTTATATGAGAAACCTAAAATCGGCTGTAGATCCTTAAATAACGCTCCAATTGACTAAATAGTGAAAATCTGTGATCACTCATATTTCCCACCAAAAATCAATTTTTATATGAGAAACCTAAAATCGGCTGTAGATTCCTTAAATAACGCTCCAATTGACTAAATAGTGAAAATCTGTGATCACTCATATTTCCCACCAAAAATCTATTTTTATATGAGAAACCTAAAATCGGCTGTAGTTCCTTAAATAACGCTCCAATTGACTAAATAGTGAAAATCTGTGATCACTCATATTTCCCACCAAAAATCAATTTTTATATGAGAAACCTAAAATCGGCTGTAGTTCCTTAAATAACGCTCCAATTGACTAAATAGTGAAAATCTGTGATCACTCATATTTCCCACCAAAAATCAATTTTTATATGAGAAACCTAAAATCGGCTGTAGTTCTTAAATAACGCTCCAATTGACTAAATAGTGAAAATCTGTGATCACTCATATTTCCCACCAAAAATCATTTTTATAAGAGAAACCTAAAATCGGCTGTAGTTCCTTAAATAACGCTCCAATTGACTAAATAGTGAAAATCTGTGATCACTCATATTTCCCACCAAAAATCTATTTTTATAAGAGAAACCTAAAATCGGCTGTAGTTCCTTAAATAACGCTCCAATTGACTAAATAGTGAAAATCTGTGATCACTCATATTTCCCACCAAAAATCAATTTTTATATGAGAAACCTAAAATCGGCTGTAGTTCCTTAAATA